AAAGCCTTAACTTTTGCCATTGTCACTCGAACTTGTTTCGATAGTTCAACAAGTCCTTTGCTCTTTAAGATGCCCCATGAATGTGTTCCTGCTTTGCATAGGATTTTTGGCAAGAAGCCAGACATACGCGAGCCAGGGCTCCCACTCATCGCAACACACAGTCCATATGCTTCCTTGCCAAAATCCGTTCTACATTCTGATTGCAAGATTGTTTATATTTGTAGAGACCCAAAGGATGCATTCATCTCCTTGTTTCACTTTAGAGCCAAGCTGAGACCTCAGGAAATTGAACCAATTTCTTTGGAGGCGGCTTTTGATCTATATTGTGAAGGGAAGTCTGACTTTGGACCCTTTTGGGACCATATTTTGGGGTATTGGAGGGCTAGTTTGGAAAGGCCAGGGAAGATATTGTTTCTAAAATACGAAGACATGATGAAGGATACAACATTCTATGTCAAGAAATTGTCAGAGTTCATGGGATACCCTTTTTCCTTAGAGGAAGAAAAAGAAGGTGTGGTGCAAAAAATTGTAGAGCTTTGCAGTTTTGAGTTTATGAGCAATTTAGAGGTAAACAAGAATGGAATGTTATTTGGAATTCGAAACCATCAGGTTCGAAACAAAGACTTTTTCCGGAGGGGGAAGGTTGGGGATTGGAGGGATCATTTGACACCTGAGATGGCAGAACGCCTTGACAAGATAATTGAGCAAAAACTAACTGCTTCTGGTTTTGGAAGAGACTGGTTGAATGTGAAACCAGTTCTGGAAGAGCAGCAAGTTTGAATTAGGATGATATCTGAAGCTTTCTGTGCTTTTCTATAATTTGTATTTTTTTTTTTTTTTAACATTTGATTATGGAAGAAACAACATTTATCAATCCACAAATAATTTCTCACATTTCATAAATTTCTTCCCCTCTGTCTCAAAATTACATTTTTCTATCCTCTTCATTGCACAGCTATCCAATCAATCTTATCAATTAGGCCGTTTCTACTGCTTTGTCTTCACTTCTCTGCTCCTCCTTGGATCCTTCATTTTTGGCCAAAAAATGTCTGGCAACGGCATTGAAATAAATCAAATTCAGAACTTCTATACCAGCCAGGAGGCAATAGAACTACTCCAGCCTATATATCCTTATTGAGATCATGACCTCCCAATCACGGCCTTTCCCACTCTTCTTAGTTGTTGTATAAACAATGTTCACAAGAAGAGTGTTCAAGCAGCTTGACTCTGATAAGCTCAGAAAGAAGATTGCGCCGGTAACTGTCCTCAGGCTCTCCGGTAATTTTATCGTGAGAAGTCTCATCAAAGCAACCGCAGCAAACGCTTCAGTCAAACCTGTTAAAACATTAACAAGAGTTTAGTCGATTTAGTATTCACTAATAATAATAACTATAATTGAAAAGTACAACCAATTGAAAAAGCTATCTAATTATCTTCTTCCCTTTTTAGTTGTGGTGTCAAATTGGTCTGCCCCAAAGGCAATGTTGCAGGGTCTAATGCCACCAGCTCCTATTGCTAGTAACCCTAACCCAACAAAAAGGATGCTCAATTGCCATTCCTTTGGACCTACGCAATTTCCTTTGTCGATGCAAGTTGGAGGCACTTAATGCCGATATAGCAGCAGTAAAAGCAATAATCCGCATACCCTAAAACCGAAGGATCAAGAAACTCCAATTAAGCCCTCTACACAATATAAACACATTTATATTACAGGTACATAATGACAATGTCATATGTATATATATATATATATATATAACGAATTAATGGCAATTTAATTATTCAAGACTACACAATAATAACCATTAGAATGAGGCAGACTCTCACTATTTAATGATAAAAAAATTTTATAGTTTAATGTAGTTTAATGTAATCGAAACTCTAAAATCACAAACTCTAAATAAAATTAGCAAGAATGATAATATTGAACCGAAGAGAAGAGAACGAGTGCCCATGGCACTGCTCATTGAATTGTTGCTGTACTACTTAAAGCCTGGAGTTGAGCACATGCGGTGCTTGAGCTTTTAGAAAAAATAATGCAGAGATTCCCAGGGGACAAAAAAGTCCGAAGGTGCAATTGCAATGTTGTGGTAAGTCAGCCTCTGTACTTTAAACCAATATGGTAAATCAGCCCCTCTACTTCATGAAATCCCCATAACAGCCCTTTTAGTTAAGCTGGCATCATCCAAACGTTAAGGCCTTCAATTGCTCGTTAAAGCCTGATGAGGTGGTGCTGTTCGGGTGCTGACTTGGTGCTGACTTGGTGCTGACGTGGACCAATTCAGTTCACTTGGGATAGCCGTAATATTTGGGGAAGTCTACATGTC